GGCGTAGAAAAAACTTACGTAGACCAATTCGCTCTCCGACATCATCATCACGTTATCGCAATGTCAACCCGGCTCCACCTCTTCCTCGTCCTACCACTTGTACACAGGTAATCTGCCTATCGATAGTACTAAAGATGTGAAAAGCTTATAGCAGCCCAGATTAAGCATTTCTCCAGCTGCCCTTCAAGTGGAGTTTGTCCTCGGGATAATTCCTCACGTCTCCACCTCCACTTTACATCCACTCAGACATAGTGGTTCATTCCACGTTGACTTGTGAGACCGTCAGGCAAATCAACGAGATTATGTCCACTGAAATGGCACTTGGTCTTGTCTTCCACCAGATGAAAGGAGGGGAAGAAGGGTGAATCACTTAGTTTTGTGGCTGTTGAATCGCATATTATGTTAAATCCACAAATTGGACATCAACTTTAAGTAACTTGCGCCAGACAATAGCAAACCTGCACTTCTAATCTTATGAGCACGTAACTAGACGCTCTCTTCCTCATTTTTCCAATCCTATTTATAAACCGTCACCTTCGACTTCCCATTGTATCATCTCATTTTCTCCTTTGTCTCTTCTATCATTTCTTGTCACTCTCACCTCAACCCATCACATATACCTGCAACAAGGTTCAGGAAGGCTTGTTAAGTTTAGCCACTGATTAAGAAGAGGCAATTCGTTCTCTGTATCATCGTTTGCTAGATTTGCCTCATTCTGTCTATGTTCACTCTGCTCCTCTGCTCCTCAGATCTCACACAACCCAGCTTGTCCACAATGCCCATATCTCCCCATCACTCGCGTCCAGCGTGCTCCAGTGATTGCACGTTGTCAGTCACGCGAATTTCAAATCGTCTTCAAGCCGACGATCGATGAGCCAGGCACATCGCAGTTGTGACATTCCGGTGACGTGGTGATGATGTGCGAGAGTGAATTCGTCTGTGCAACGTTTTTCTGTGCCTACCTGGGCTTCGCCTTACTGAACCACTTCAATGTAGTCAGTTTGGCAACATGGTGCGCCCTCTGGACATCGGTCAGATTCCTTGAGGCCACTGTCAATTGTAAGTGTGTGTCAATGAACTGCCTCCT